CCGTAATGTGGGAACCCTTGCTTATTTAACACTCCCCCCGGGCGCCGGTGTAGCGGCCCCTGCACACTTTTCATTGTACTCAGGCTATACAGTGCGTCGCTTCCAGGGGCGCCTTAGCACTTACATAAAGATCAAAAGGATTCATATCATGATTTTTTCGACAAGTTTTACGCTGGCTGTCGAAATGGTTGTCGACTACCTAACGCAACCCTCGCATCCGGGCTTGGGACCTGCAACGACAGTGCTAGAGCCATTGGCATTGCCAGGGAAAATTTGGAAAGAAGTGACGACGGATTTTATCGAGAGATTTCCACAGTCAGAAAGGGTTCATAGCGAGTATGGAGGTCGATGATCGCCTAAGTGCACACATTTCATTCTCGCGCGATATCCCTACACTACGGTCTCAGTCGTAGCGATGTTTATTCAAAAAGTGGTCTGTTTGCACGGGGTGCTGGAATTGATTAAATTGGATAGGGATAAGGTGTTCCTCAGTCACTTCTGGAAATAGTTATTCAAGTTACAAGAGACAGTCCTTGAAAGAAACACCAGATATCATCCCTAGACCGATAGATAGACGTAAGTGGTCAACATGATTGTAGATACATACCTACGTTGTTTTGTATCTGATACACCGAAGCTATGGGCTAAGTGGATTGCATGAGCCGAATATTGGTATAATACTTTGTATCACACCTCAGCACAAACAACTCCTATCAAGATAATGTATGGGTGAAATCCACCTCACTTAATACATTATGGGCATAGAACCACACCAGTATCCAACGTTGATCAGTACTTGGAGGAGAGGGATGTGATACTAGCAGATCTCAAGGGGCATTCACTTATAGCTCAACAAATCATGAAGAGGAAGGCAAACGAACGTAATAGAGAGGTGTCATTTGAACTAGGAGGATAAGAGAGAAGTTGTTACCACAATATTTTGGACCTTATGAGATGATGGAACGCATCGGAGCAGTCGCCAACCGTTTGAATTTGCTGTCATCATCCACATTACACCCGATCTTCCAAGTGTGATTAGAGATCATAAACCCTCACCTACACTACTGCCGACGCTAACAGAGGATTTGGAGGTGATCATGGAGTCGTTCGAGATCGAAAGAGTGCGTCGAGGAGTAAGAGGAGCAAAGGAAGTTTTGGTCAAGTGGAAAGAGCAACCAAACTACGAAGCAACGTGGGAGCTCTACGAGGTGATCCACAAGCAATTTTCATCCTTCCGCCATGAGAACAAAGTACTTCTTTGGGATGGGAGTCATGTTATGCTTATATGTGAACCGTTCCAGAAGAGACCAGTCGAGCACTATCAAACCGGCCAGGTGGGCCAGTCATTTCCGTGAGATGGAGTCGGGTTGCTTCCGCTAGAAGGAGCCTAACGCAAGTGGCTGGATGCTGCGACCGAAAAAGGCAGGGAGCAAAGAGGTCCCAAAGGGGCCTTAATCACTTATTCAAAGAGGAGAAATTAAAGGAATTAGGAGGGAAGGTTTAAAAGAAAGTTTTTGAAATGTTGTGAGAGGATTCTATTAAAGAGAGTAACATAGGGTTTGTTTCTTAATGTATATTTTTGTTGGTTACTGGTTTTCTTTCTTCTTGTGGCGATCCTAGCGACTTCTAGGGTTGTGGGAGAGCCGATCTACCTCTCGAATAGTAGATTATCCATGTATCTAGCTTGCTTTCATTTGTATTTCATAAGGGCGGCCCTTATTTGAATTATTTCCATCAATCTATCGTCGTTTCATCGTGGTTGCTGGCTGACATTTGTTCCGAAGCGTATCTAAAACTTATCCATCTACATCATAAAAAAGAGGTATTTGCATACATGCCACCCAATTTCCTATGTATTTGCACATCTAACAATTAAACTTTACATTTTATACTTATACCACCTAAATATTTCATATCACATCAGAATTGCCACTATTTTAACCGTAAAAAAGTGAATTACACATTTTCAAGCATACGTAAGGTGGCAGTATGTAAAAATTGAAGCATAGGTGTTAGATATGTAATTATATAGAGTGGAATGTATGTAAATCTTAAAATAAATAAATAAATTCTTAGGGTTGGCTCTCAGGAAATTTTAAGACCAAGAAAGAAGTATTTCTTAAACGCGTCTTCTGCAAATGGTAACGATACAAACTGTAACATTATAGTATACTTACGTTAGTTTTATGGACCAATCGGTCAACTATGCTCATCACTGATCCAGCTAACTCCTCATAATCTTTCTGCTACAATATTAAACTCAAAATTACAACATTCTCGAACAAGAAAAAAAATATTTAAACAAGAAGGAATGGATGCAAAATAAAAAACCAATTAAGAAGAAAGCCATGCTTTATCATCATCTGATTTACAAGTTTCAATTCTAGCCGCAAGCCTGATCCAGAAACCCTCGTTGAATGCCAGCACATTTTCAACAACAACCTGTTCTAGCTGTAAAAAAAAAAAAGTACTCCAAAGCCTTAGCCTTGTTTTTTATCAAAATAATGATCATAAACAAACATAATCTCGCTAAACTTACTTCACCAGGATTGGATACTCTTAGTGTATCTATTAATCTATCGACTTCTAGAGTCTTCTTGAATGATTTCTCAGCATCTCGATTGGCTGCATAAACCAAGTTTCTCCTGTAAAATGATTCGAGAGATCATGATTTTCAAAGTTTCAATAATAACAACCAACAATAAATCATGTAGAAACATGTGATTAATAGAATAGAAAAGTGTCAAAATGATCCCTTGACTCTTTGACGGTGGTCATTTTAATCTCATAGTCGATAAAATTGTAAATTTGGTCCCAAATTCTTTTAAATGGAGTTCAAGAAGTCATCAGTGGGGACTAATTCAAAGGATTTGAGAACTAATTTCATACTTTTATGGACTCTAGGATTAAAATGACTCCACGTAAATAGTCAGGGGACTATTCTGGCACTTCTAACAAAATAATCAATTTTCATCTTCATGATTATTCAAAGGGCATGTAAAGTTAATACAATTCTCACTCAGACTGATCTCAAACATCATGCTAGTTTATCAAATCGAAAGAAAAAAAGGAATAAGAGTGAAAACTAATAATGAACGGTTTGTAAAAACAGTAATTTTCTACTAGAAGCAGTAAATATTCGAAATGTTTTTCCCCAAACCCATCAACAAATAAATGACTCGGAGTTCCACTGCATGCATTACTCCTGGCATGGTATTATAAATAAAGTAAAGAGCAACAGTAATTACATCAAAAAATATACTTTATCTCATCTAAATCTGGAGTGAATATTACTTGTGGAATCCATACATACAGATTGTGGTATTTGGTGGTATTGTGATGTTATTGTAGTGTTTACCGCTAAATCCGCACCTATCTTGTCCTCAAGTAATATTTTTTTCCTAAATCTGAGGTAAAGCCATTTTTCAAATCTCAGCATATCAAAATACAAATTCAACCAAAAAACTTTTAAGCAAAAAGGTCATTCTTTCTCCATCTTTCTTTATTATTCTTTTATTAGTTTTGACACGCCACCAACAAATTTTCATTATCCAGCACGAATCTTGAAGCATGACACAAATCTCGAGATAATATTTTAAGTAAGCAATGTTCAAACATTGATAAAAACTCATCCAAAGTTCCCATTTCAGCAAACTTATAGTCAAACTGACCGGCTCGATGAGATGAACCTGATGATATCAAAGTCATTCCAATCCGAGTCAAATCAAGCCAGGATCAAGTCATTAAATCATTCTTGGAAGATTTTCGGACACATTTGGAAGGTCAAACGATTATCGATTCTAGTAAGTTTATAGTCGAATCGAGCGTCTTGACAAGACGAATCCAACAAGCACAAGATTGCGCAATTTCGACATCGTTAAGGCACTCAAATGTCCATTAAACATCATTTAATCAGAGGAAGCTTTCCGGACCATCCAATCAAAATAATTTATATTCATGCAATAATGACACCTAGGACACTATAAATAAAACCCCCCTCACATGAAAGAGAGGCTGGAAGCTTCAGAGAGAACTGGAACGAGGACAAAAGCTAAGAAGTTTGCTTTAATTGCAGCCATTGCATAATTTTGCAGTCTCTCTTTCAGAGAGAACTGGAACGAGGACAACGAGCATCTACTTCCTTTCCCAATGATGTACTTCATCCAATCGAAGAAGTAACCTCGTTCACATCATGAAGATCATATTCGATGCATTTTTCAATATGGGGGGCAAACTTCACCGCAATCTCAAAAGGTTTCACAATTTTGTCCTCGTTCCAGTTCTCTCTGAAGCTTCCAGTCTCTCTTTCATGTGAGGGGTCGGGTTTTATTTATAGCGTCCTAGGTGTCATTATTGCATGAATATAAATCATTTTGATCGGATGGTCCGGAAAGCTTCCTCTGATTAAATGATGTTTAATGGACATTTGAGTGCCTTAACGATGTCGAAATTGCGCAATCTTGTGCTTGTTGGATTCGTCTTGTCAAGACGCTCGATTCGACTATAAACTTACTAGAATCGATAATCGTTTGACCTTCCAAATGTGTCCGAAAATCTTCCAAGAATGATTTAATGACTTGATCCTGGCTTGATTTGACTCGGATTGGAATGACTTTGATATCATCAGGTTCATCTCATCGAGCCGGTCAGTTTGACTATAAGACCCCTCACATGAAAGAGAGACTGCTAGCTTTAATTGCATAATTTTGCACAACTAAGAAGCCACAACAACCGTGGAAGAAACAAAGAAATATATTATCTTCATCTACAAATACCATATCAAATGATCAAAAATGCTATAAATACCAACATATACTTGTACAAAAGCTACAATAAGTCCGCTCATCTTCGAGTAGAGTTAGCATTGCCTCCCCAAAACCCAAGTACTTATGATGATCGTCAGGGGGTCTTCAGATATCACCACCACATGAAGCATGAAACTCTTCCTCTCAAAGCGCGACAGGAGAATTAACCAAAGAAAAATATATTGAGATTTTCGAACCTCTTTTATACTATTTTTAATGATATTACACTTTAAAGAAAAATATTTTTAATGTTTTGTTGCAGGAATGATGAATTAAGGTCAATGGAGCAAAAATATGCAAAAAAAAACGAATTTGGAGCAAAAAGGAGCGAATTTGGAGAATTGCATTAGGACGCCGACGGCGCCATCGACGCTGCCGACGGCGAGCTTTTCCCGAGGCCACAGGACAAATTCTCTAGAAGGTTGCCGTCGACGCCATTGAGG